AAACAAGTCAATTAACCTCAGAAAAGAATAGAACATACTTTATTGATTCCCAAGGAGAAATTTCTTATCCAAAGTGTTAAATATTATTAAATATAATATAATATAAATGATATAAAATATATATGAAAACAAATAATATATGGATAAGTGTGATATTGTGATTTAAATATGACCTAAATATAAAAATAAATAAAGTAAGCTAATAACAAGCAAGCACATGGAAATATGTTGACCTATGAATAAATCTATAAATGAGTCCAGAGAAAACTTAGATTTACAGAATGCTTGTGTCCTTTAATGACCACAATATGATAATTAATGCTGAACCAGCTTTAATTTGGTAACTGGAAGTAGATCTTTTTTACACTTTCCGTATCTGATCCAAAAGATCTTGATGTACGTGACCTCTGTCCCTCGATCAGATGTTGAGACGACTGAAAAGCTTCAATGCTCCATGTTTTACAGCTCAAATATTATTATTTCATATAATAAGTTATTTATATAAATGATGAATATTGTTCTGACTTTGTCATGGTGGTTTTGTAGCTTATGGATTATGGGGTGTTTTTCATTTTCTGTATTTTTGTTACTTTTTTTAATTATTATTTTTTCTTGCTCGTTTGGCTAAGTTTAAGAAAACCAGATAACCTTTCTTTATATACATAATTTTATTTATTTATTTTTTTTAAAATAACGTTTGGCATTCAGTCTCACTCTGTTAGGCAGGGTGTTTGTGTGCACTCGCATATAGAGGAACACTTTCAAAATACCAACAGAGGGAAGTCATTAATGGAAAGTGAGAACCTTTTCCTGGTACCCGCTTCTTTTTGCAGTTCTACTGTGCTCTAGTTAGGTTTGGCAGTATGGTGAGAATTAGATTTTAATTGTAAAACTAGAACCGGTTAGGGTTATGTGACGGTTAGGGGTGGGGTTAAGGGAAGGTTAAGGGCTAGGCTGTAGAAAATGAATGGTAGTCAGTGTAAACTACCCAGAAGACATGAAAACACAACTGTATGTGACACACAGACACTGTGCGTGTCTGCATGTGTGTTTGTGTAAGCAAGCTGACATTACACAGGCAGCTTTCTGAAAAGTTAAGGAGGAATTTAAAGGAGAGTTTCAACATCCACTCAGAACTATCAGCACTCTGAAACCTTCTGGATATCTTCACACACACACACACACACACACACACACACACACACACACACACACACACACACACACACACACACACACACACACACACACACACACGCACGGACACACGAGCACATGCACACATGTGCACATGAGTGCCTGGCTACTTCCAGAAAAGAACAGCAATGCAAAATTGAAGAAGCAGAGGAATAAGAACATGGCTACTGTCTCAAGTTAGCAGTTGGGAAAAAAAACAAGCTTTATTTCTAAAAATCTGGGGAAAACAGGCTTTGATCTCTGAATGTATTTTACTGTCAGGTTTGAAGTGAAAGATCAGAGTGATGTTTCCCGTTCCAAAATTGCAGTTTTTTTTTAAATAGCATGGGAGTAAATTATGAATTTCCCAGTGCTGGACATCACCAAAATATTTATTTTTCATGAGTTCATCAAAAAACAACATCAGGAGACTAATAGCGTATAGGGTCATAATGAAGGACAGTAAAAAGCCAGATGAATTGGAAATAAGAGAAGGCACACATTTAAAAAAGCAACTTTAAGATAACTTGCTGGTTTTAGTAAATGCTGTACTGGATTTTTAACATATTCCAGGAATGATTCTGAAGCCTTTTCACTCAGTCAGCTGAAACTGTGACGGAGGAAGCAGTTCAGCCTTTAACAATCTGAGTTATATTCTGAGCCAGAATTTGACCATAATCTTGCCTCAGTTCACCTATTTCCTTCTGTAAGGTCATGGCCTTCTCAACAACGGATGCAATTCAAAAATAATTTATTGATCCCAAAGGGAAAGTAAATGTTGTTGTAACTCATTTATTCAAAGTGTTATTGTAGACGGTGGTGGACAGGAAGGATCTCCTGTAACAGTCTGTTTTAAAATTAATTCGAAGAAGCCCCTGACTAAAGACAGGTTGTTTTCCTACGATAGTTTCATAAATAGGAAGGGTTGTCCATAATTTACTTGATTTTATGAAGAATCCTTTTTTGCATCATCATCTCTACAGGTTCCACAGTCGACCCCAGAACAGAACCAGAACATTCTTTATCAGGTTGTTGAGCCTTTTTAAGTTCCTGGTCCTGATGCTGCTGCCCCAACAGATGACGGCAGAAGAGATGGCTGAAAGTCTCAACAACAGACTCATAGAAGCCTGCTCCGTCCCTTCTTATAGACGCTTCACTGCTGCATCTCCAGTCTAGTCTGTTGTCCAAATGAACACCAGGAATTTATATTCCTCAAACACCTCCTCTTCTTCTCCCATGACCGAAATAAAGTTTGATTTATACCTATTTCTCCTGGAAATCTACAATCATCTCCTTTGTTTTGTTCACATTCTAAATATGTGAGGGTGCGATTTGGCATCAGTTTTTAATTTTTTTCAGTGCTGCGCATAAATATATGAATTAGCAACATGGACAGAAAAGAAAGAGGTCAGACCTGCAGCCCCCTTAGAGGAATGGACAGCTCAAAGGTTGAAGACATTTGGCTCCATAAACAAATTATCTCTGATTTTTCTTTCTATATTTGTTCTTCTAAACAGCTTATTTATTAAAAAAAAAAAAAAAAAAAAAAAAAAGAAAAACACTTGTTTGGGCTGCCATAGATTTTATCTGGAACATCTTAAAATAGTGATAATGATGAGTAATTAAGACAACAGTTTTTGTTTGGAGTTTTCTTTCCTTATTGAACACAAGTAGAGACAAAATGGAGAGAAAAGGGTTGAAGGACTCTAAGCCGTCCTGATGTGGACACGACAGTGGATACTGACTATGGTTCATAGAGCTCTATAACTTTAGCTAATTCTATTTCAGAAGTCATCCTATCAGTAAACATTTTCCATTTGTGTGTTATTTAATTGAAATATAAATGCTATTGCATTAAGGAGACTAAGGGACACAATAGATAGATTAGATCAAAGCAGGGCTGAAGTCTAAAACACAATCTCAAGCTTTGAACATCTCGCAGAACGATTGTTCAGTCCATCATCCGAACTTGAAGATGAACCAACTTCAGACATCTACAGGCTGGGCAAGGAGAGCATCCAAGAGAAGCTGTGGAGATCTATGGACCTGCCCAAATGTTAGCAGTCCACTCCATAAATCTAGTCTTCAGTGAAGAGCAGCAATGCAAAAGCCCTTGTTTTAAGAAAATCAGAGGAATTTACCATAAACCACGAGATGACAGAAAATGAGAGGAAAGATGCGATCTCATGCATTTTTGTCCTACATGGAAAACACTGTGGCAAAAAGGAAAAAAAAAAAAGCCCAACGCTCATTACACATCATAAACTCGTGGTGAAACATGAGAGTGGCAGGATGATGCTATGGGGACGATGTTCTCAAGCAAAGACAAAGAAGCTGGTTGTAGTTGGTCAAAAACTGTAAAAGACTGGATTTGTTCTTTGCTAACCTCTCTACTCTCTCTTTCAAACCTCATATTCTTTTTATTTCTTTAAATAAATCGTTTACCCTCCTGGCTTTTGTCTCCTTATTTCTTGCTCGCTTACTCCTACACTGCCTAACCTGAGAAAATGTGGAGAAGTTCACATCACATACCTTTGTGAGGCACAGCAACAGCTAGACAAACAAAACCAAAAGGCAAAATGTTTCCACTGAAGGTTTACAGGACGGGAAGGTGTCACTGTTCTTTATTTAAACATAACAATGCATTGGTCCACCTTAACCAGCCACGTTTTTTTGAAGACTGTGACAAACGACTTACTATGTGCCGTTTATTTTTTTTTTTTTGCGTGTTTACGTAGTCGAGTCAGAAATAATGTCATGACGTGAATTTGCCTCGACTTGTCTGCTCATAATAAAACACGGTAGGTGCCACACAGAGCTGTGAAAAAAAGTATTTGCAACTTTTTAGATTTTTTTTCCTGTTTTTGCTTTTTTTTGTTGCAGTTACATATTTTGCATATATATGTACATATATACATATAAAAAAGTTAATATCAGACAACAGTAACCTGAGTTCATACAAAAAGTTGTTTTAAAAATGATTTCATTAAATGGAAAGAATCTATCCAAACTAACCCAACCCTGTGTGGAAAAAGTAACTCCACCCTAAGCCCAATAACTAATTGTTACACTCTTGTAGTCAAATGTTGGTGGTAAACGAGTCTTTTACATTTGGACGCATTTTGATCCGTTCTGCTTTGCAGAAATGTTGTGATTCAGACACAGTGGAGGACTTCGGAGCCTGTCTCAGGTGTGCTACCCACTGGGCCATGTTTTCTCCATGTGTGGACAATGTGTGGTTCTCTGGAGTCACCAAAGACTTAGAAACGCCTTTGTAAACCCTTTCAGACTGGTAGTTGTTATTTCTCATCTCCTCTTGTAAAGTAGTTGAAGTTATTTGTAGTTCAACTTTTTTACATCCGGGCTCGATCTCTTGCTCTGACTTTAGATCTCTTGGCCTACTTCATGTCGTCAGACAGGTTCTATTTAAGTGATTTCTTCATTCTGCAACTCTAGCAGTAGTCAGGCTTGGGCCCAATATGTGCTTTTTGTTTTGTTCCCTTCTTTCTCACATTGTTGGTCTGGTAAAGTCTGGACGTTATCATCCAGGTTCTGATATCAAATTAGTTTGATGACTTGAGACATTTAAATGTGAGGAGCAAAAAGCGAAACCTAAATATTCTGCAAGGCGGAAATACGTTTTCACACAGCTCTGTATGGAAACAAGTATCCACCAAATAATGCAAATGAAAGGGAGTGTGTGCACATACATACACAGGCTGCACACACACATGCACATGCGCACGCACACACACACACACACACACACACACACACACACACGCACGCACATACCAGAATGCTAACAAGAAAAAAAAACAGTAAAATGTGGTAATTTGCATTTAAATGTATCTTTTAGACAAAGTGCAATATATTACATTTCACTATTTAGGTCATATTTTGTCTTTTTATGGTGTGTCTTATTTGTACTGGGAAGTTTGGTCCATGATCCAGTCTCGAGATATCAATTAGAGTGACCACTGAAGCTGGTCATTTTGATGTGTAAATCTCAGGACTTCCTGTTGGCGTTGCAGTTACCGTGGAAGATGAAACTTTTGTCAGGGAATGAGGTCATATCCTGTATAAGTGTGCTCCAGCTGAAGGTCAGCGATTCGCTACGCGTTGTGCTCGGTGACCAAGCTAACTGCTGTTAGCAATACAAACTACTGATAATGTATTTCTAAGCTTTCACTAAACTGAACCATTGCAGTAGCATACAGTGGAACTCTGCCTAGTTAAGGTTCATTATTTGTGAATTGTTCTGTGGAATGTAACTCCAGATAATTACTGAAAAAATATTTTGTTGAACATATCTAACATTCATCCATCCATTATCTTAGATGTTTATCCCTAATGTGGGTGTGGCCAGGGGTGCTGGTGTCTATCTCTAGTGGTCAGCGGGCGAGAGGCAGGGTTCACCCTGGACAGGTCGCCAGTCCACTGCAACATATTGAAAATATTCGATATACAACACAGAGAGAAAATGCATCTTTGGGAAGCTGAAATATCTATGTACATTTCTACTCGACATGCTATTGGCTGACATTTGCAAAACAAGCCAATCCAGGAGTGGCATTTACTTTCCTTGGGACCGACCCTCAACAGAGGAGACAAGGAAGGCTGCAGATATTACTGTCTGCTAAAATGGTTTCCACTATGCATGTTAATACATGTTAAGATATAGTTGGTGTTACAATTATTAAAATAAACAGTTCTAAGTGTTTTTTGATGGGGTCTCAAGTATTAGTGGATTTCAGCTGAACAAATAAACAACTTGGTTCTACATCTATCACTGTGTTGCATAAGCACAGAATCCATGTTGGATTTTTAGATGGGTGGCGGGGGTTTGACGGAAACCCCCAATTTTCCAAAACTTTATAACTTTTCAACTGATTTTTCTGACAACGAAACATTTCAACACTCCAAAAATAAAGAGAGTGAACAAAGAAGAATTCAAGCAGTCAGACACCAACCCATAAATCCAACATGGCTGCTGCACGCATCAAAGCTGGTGATAGCTCCAATGCCTGACTGTACGTGCTGAGAAAATTATTATTGTTAGTTTTTATTGCTAAGAGTCATCAGCCACCCGCCGGGTCACACAGCACAACCGTAAGCGAAGACTTTGATGGAACGTTTAAAGTTAACACAACGCCATTTCCAGGCTGCAGCTGTTGATTCGAAGGTAAATTAAACGCGCAGTTAATAAGATTTCATCCCTTCCTTTCTAAAAGATTGTTGAAACAAGTGCTTTGTTATTCTGCAGTCTCTTAAAAAGTCGATTAACGAGGCCGATAAATACTTGTGTCGCTCTAAGACAAAGCCCTATTCAGTCAGTCGTATAAACTTTTATAAAAATATTTTTTTTAAAGTCATGTAAAGAATATTAATAGCAATAATTGTAACACAACATGTCGTCGTGTGGGCCCCATTTGATGGGAGAAGTGCAGAGAGAGAGAGAGCCCATCGACAAACAGCACCGGTGTCCGTGAGACAGAAAGAGTAAAGGCCGTGAACCAGAGTCCAACGGCAGGATGGCCAACGGCAGGACGTCCTCAGCAGGCATCCGGCCGCTCCACCACACTGCAGCAGTCACTGAATCCCGAAGGAGAAGCCCAGGTGGAGGTTTACTCGCAGGCTGACACGCTGCTGATCTTTGCTGTGTTCTCGCTCCACGGCTGGAGGTTCTGCAGGGCGTACAAGGAGCTGTTCTGCAGGCACAGTGGGTCGGGGGCTACCGGCTGGTTGATGGTCTTCTGGAAGGCCTCCTGTTGCAGCTGCATCAGGATACGGTTGGCCTGCTGCCGCTCTGCTTCCCGCTCCTCCGCTGTCTGCCGTCTGCAAGGAGAGCGCAGAGAGTCTGTGAGGGAGAGAGAGCCGACTGCGGTGTGGGGACACGGGGCCCGTACACTGGGAGGAAGGGGACTGGACTAGAGCTTTGACACCTTCAATCAATCATTCAATCAGTCAGCGGTATGACAGCTGGACATTCTCATCTTCTTTGTACTTGCAGTATAATTGTTTGTACAGATGAACAGAGTACTCTCTGGCATCTGGGAATTGCCAGATGCAGGATGAACCAGACTTATGCAAGTCCACAGTTTTCTTCCTGATATGTTGGAGGATTTCTTTCAACTTTCCCGTGCTGTTAACACAAGAAAGCAGGTGTGCCTTAAATTACACACACAGGTGAGTCTCAAATGCTACCAATAAACCTTTCAGAAGCTTCCAAAGCCCCAAATTGTTAAAAGGCATGTAATCTCAGCATGAAGTTGAAGAAAGTAATAAAAATTGCCTCAAAAAAATTTCTCATTACTCTGGCAAGTAGCAAATAGAAAATATTTTGGTAATTCTAACTTGACTTAAAATGGGAAAAATGTATTCTGCTTTCACATCAGACAGTGTGAAAAATAAAAAAAGTATGTGTCGTTTAATGTGGAGTATATAAACTCCTGGTTCAACTGTAAGTGTATCAGATACGTATTTTATCCACTGTATTAGAAAACATAAATTATCACATCTAAACTGTCTGCTTTGTTCAAGGATCAATCCAGACATTTGGAGCCATCATAGAGTTAAAAAAAATGTCTTATCAGTAATCCTTTTCACAAGTTACAAAAACAACTTTATTTCAATCATAAATCATTTTTAATATCTATCTATCTATCTATCTATCTATCTATCTATCTATCTATTATTATTATTATTATTATTATTATTATTATTATTATTATTATTATTATTATTTCCTTTGCACCACATTTAATGTAAAATTAAAAGCTGGGCACCAATAATGTAAAAATAATAGACGATATATAGGCTTAATGCTAAACATAAATATGTAATGCTAAAGATAAATACAGACATTACCTTTTATTTAATGTATTTTTTCCCCCTGAAACATTTGTATTTAATTCTACATTCATGTATTTAGTTTCTGATCCAGGTTTTGGTCAGTTAGGCTAAATCTTAGAAAATATAAGCGGCCTCCTCCTGCTGACAGACGACTGTTATTTATTCGTCATATGACCACAGTTTATTACAGCAGATATTTTATAGCATCAATAATAAAATAAGATCTAATAAAATTCTATACAAATATAGAAAATAATTGAAAAAGCAGGGATCCGCTTACGAATAATGCATAAACAAAAAGACGTAAACGGACCGCATACAGAAAAACAAAATGTCAGAGAGATGAGAAGGACTTCTTAAAGGTGGACCGGCAAACCTGAAAGATTGGTCCTAGGCGATAAATGTGGGTGCTAATCTGTGATAACCCACGAAAACTAATTCTCCAGTTTGGTTTTACGTGGGTCCAGAACTGCTGGCACGGTTCTGGAAAAATCTAAATCTCTCCAGACTGTCGCACGTGGTTGGAAAGCCTTTTACCGCACAAAACATCTCTGATCCGGAAAAAAGGTGTTTTGAGTCAAATAAGAGAAGAGAGAGTGAAGAGAGCAGTCACCTCCACTTGGTGCGTCTGTTCTGGAACCAGGTTTTGACCTGAGCGTCGGTCATCTTCAGGGCCTTGGCCAGCGCGGCGCGCTCGGCAGACGCCAGGTACTTCTGCCGGTGGAAGCGCTTCTCGAGCTCGCAGATCTGCAGCCGGCTGAACGACGTCCGCGGCTTCTTCTTCTTCGGCGGAGTGCGATTCTGGTACGGGTGACCTACACGGCGTGTGACAGTGAGGGGTGAGAGAGAGACTTGACGGGGACGGTGGTCAGGAAGGGACAGGAGAGCGGGACACGCAGGGTCAAAGACAGGAAGAAGACAGTGAGCGGAGAGAAGCGGTAGCTAAACACAGGAGCTGCACAGCAAAAGGTGTAGCTGTTACAAGAGCATCAAATTTTAGCCATTAAAAAAAAAAGTAATCAACTTTGTAAAAGTATGGTCTAATCACATAGTTACAAATTCCAAAAAACATAAATATTTTTAGAGATGTTTAATACTTTAATAAAATGGTTTCTGCCTATATTAACTATAAAATGATATAAAATATTCTATGATTTAATAGTTTAAGACATTTTCTCAGAACTTTCAAAAACGTGAGAGGTATTCACAGTTTACTGTATAATAAAAAAAATATGTATAGTTTGATTTGGGGTTCAGTGAGAGGAAAACAATGCAAATATGCATGAACAAATGAAATATTTTAACTAAGCGGTATGTGTTGGATTGGAAATCAGCTTAAAATGTTTGTGTGACGAAGGAGAAAGAAGATTACATCTTAACCTTAAAGACTGAGCTACAGTCAAACTAACCAGCTGATAAACTAAAGGCGTATCGCAGCTGGTTGTCAAGGAAACATTGTACTTGCCAACTTATATGTTTTTTTAATCATCATTATTATTATTTTACATATCATGTCTCTTATCAATTTACGTTTACAGCTGACTTTTTATTACAGCCATAAACCAGCTCTTATTTTTTGCTATATAGTACAAACTATATATATA